AAACGCTTTTCAATGATTTAGTCTTGATGATTTCACTTAAATATTAATATTCTCTTTTAATTAAAACACATGTCCGTAACATTTTCATCCAACTTCTGAATGCTTTTAGAACACATTCTTGAATATAACCTGGAATATGGCAGATCCTATGATTTCAAAGACTTGTTTCTTCTTTCTGAAAGGTGTTTCTTTTAAGTTTGAGAAATGAAACAAGTCAAAGGGTGAAAGATCTGGATAATATTTGTGGTGTGGCAAAACATTATATATCTTTTTATCCCCAAAACTCCTTTACTCTTCAGGGCGTGTGGGTTTTAACGCTGTCGTAAAGAAATTTAATATAGTGTATTCCTGATTCTGGTTCTATCCTCTAATAAACCTTTCGATGTTTTGCAATAATTTGCAATAATCTAGACTTCTCAAAAAATTGAAGTGCCTCTCTGAATAAGAATTTTAACAACAAGACCGCTAATATTTAAATGGCATATAAAACTGTTTTTGTGCTTTTGCAATTCTTTATTAGCTTTTCTCAGACTTGGCTGTTTTTGTAAAGTGTATCTTATTGTAAATTTGTTTTTGAGGGATTAAAGCAAGTATGGATTAGTTTCATTATCTGTTTGAATTTCAGACAACCGTTGACAACTACAATTTTTTTTAAATAATTGTTTAATATTCTTACACGCTGCCGATTATACTCATTTTTCAAAACATTTCAAAACATGGGGTGACCATTGCGTATTAAACTTTTTTACTGTCAAATGCTTCTTTAAAACAGTGTACACCACCCCCACCCCACCTCAAAAAAAATTATGCCGATCAATTATGCTATGTGTCTTAAAGACAATATAAATTCATCGGTGATAATTTGTTGAATTTTGGCAAAAAGTACATTACTTGCTGTAAGTCCTTGTCGCCAAGGATAGTACCCATTTCTGATGTCCATTATATAATTTTGTTTATTGAAATCCACCTGCTCATGTATCTTTAAAACATACATTGGTTGCTGTAAATTTTACATTTGCCAGTGAATATTTCTTTGCGATTCTTAACGAGTATTACATCAGCTTTTAAGCGTTTAATTTCACTCTAGTTTACTGATTCTTTACCATTCATTTTAAATGAAGTGTCTCGAATGATGTTAAATGTGTATGATTCTACCATAGGTATTTACAAATTAATAAATCAAGCTTTCCTTGATACTATCTAGTAGAATTGTTCAAATTAACTTCTTACAGATGAGTATTTTACTAAGTACTTTGCACATTTTCCATAGTTGTCTTGGTTTTGTTGAAATGCAGCGCTGAAAAATGACAAAACTGCATAAAGAAATCATGTCAAAGAATTGGATAATAAAGTATTGTTAATCTTTTAACATAGTAAATTATTACTATTAAAAAGAAAATTCTTTTACATTTATGATCTGAAACTGAAATTTTTCGTTGGAAGGTATCTTTCAAGATGTTAGATTTCAGAAAGTTAATCAGAAAAAAATACCATCTTTTTAACATGGAAAGCAGCCGAACAGATGAAAAATACTTCTATCATCTTGCACCTTAGTGTCATATTAATGTACAGAAAATACAAAAGTTACATGAACTGCATTGTTTATGTATCTAGGAAAGGCAAAAGTATGCTTTAAAATGAACGGATACAAAGACGACTGCATTTGACGCAAAACCATTAAAGAATCATTTGTGAAATGTCATAATCTATCACCCAAGAGCATATAAAAATCCTACCAATTATTAAGTGTGAATTATTTTTAAAGTAATTGAATATAGATCAAATTGAAGTTATAAATCACTTTTAAAATATATATTGTTGTCACGTTATACAAATTTGCATTACATCAATGTGACCTTAATTTATGCGAAAAACCATGTGAGTTTAAAAAGTGCGCTGAGCTGTATATACATCTTGGTCCATTTTGTATGTGTCATATTTTTACTGACATTTTCATACATTAAACATTGGAAAGAATAGCATCTTGATTTCTATGTGTGCAAACATATGCATCACCATTCTATTCACTTAAATCAAAAACCATCTTCAGACGTTGTTGCAGTTCTTGTACATGTATAGTGCGTTTTATCAAAACTTGAAAAAAGGAGCAAATATGTCTTGGTGCAGTTTCCAAAGTAACTTTAAAACATAACAAGAACTTCAAATAACAGATCATTCATTTTTAAACTACTAAGGTATTAGTCTTTATCGAGCACAAAAATCAATATGTCTAAATGTAATCTACTTGTTGCAAACATAGTTTCATTCATACCTTTCTGGAAAAGTTTTTTTTTTCTCTAAGAGTTTTCTGTTTTTGTAAGCATTGCAAACCTGTACATCGATCGGGGGAAATTCAACAAAAAAATGATTGTGCATGTTGACTGGTTATTTTGAGTTACAATATACGAGGGTTGATCCATAAGTTCGTGGAATTTCTTTCTAAAATTTTATCTTGATTTGATGAAAGCAAACAACAAGCAAATTCATAATATAGAGTCATAGTGTTACAAAACTGGAAAATTTCACCAGTTTCCAATTACCTATAAGGTCACACGAGCGTTCTGAAAATGTATAGTTGTGAAAGCTGGGTAAGACTTCGACGTTACGTCAAGTTAAATATGTCACGTCACGTTATAGAAGCATCTCGCCCTAATGTCCAATTCTAACAAATAATTCTACAAAATGCTGGCCTTCTCTCCATTTCTTTTCTCAAGAAAAGCCTGTCTATCTTCTCGCACCAATTTATCTTCATTTTTCACTAATATTTCAAAACACTACCAATCTTACCATATGATGTTCCAATTTCAGTAGCGATGTCAAGAACAGTACAGCGGCCGACAATGTCCATTAATGCCTAGGTCACATTTAAGCCGATGGTCGGGCGACTAAATTTTTCTCGTCTTGTCGGCTAAAAGAACATGATCGGCCGATACAGTATCGGGCGACACGGAGCAGTCACATTAATTCCTAGGGACACCGATGACTTGGACAAATAACACAAAAAAACTTTTTTCTTTAGAATTCGGGAATATTTTTTCATAGATCTATATTCAGATAGGTAACGTGAGTAATGTTTGCAAGGCAAAGTTGAAAATGTGTGCAATATTTTGTATGGAATTGCATAAAAATGACAAATGGTGCATATCTAAGCAGCAAATAATACTTTAGATTTCTTTATATCTTACGGATTGATTATTCATGTTATTTCCGTTCAAAAAATTTACATCAATCCATGCATCAAAATTTTGTTTGTGTTATGTATCCTTACTAGGTTAAATATTCACAAGTCGGCCAATCGTCGTCCGATCATCGAGATCTGAGCTACAGTTTGATTTTAAGCGTCGGCCGAAATTTTAGTCACCCGTATTGTCCAACGACGGACAACCGACTTTATAAACTGACCGCCGATGGTCAGACGATGATCGAAGGTTGTTCGACGGATAACTTCAATTGAAGGAATCGGCCACCGACGCATAAAAAATTATAACTTGGACCGATGGACACAAAATTGGTCGGCCGACAAAAAAAGACGTCAAAATCGGCCAAGACAACGGCCGATGAACTGACGACTGTCACCCGAAGAATCCCATTTTTGCTTCAAAACCCGTCGGCCGTTGGTCGGTTTTGGAAATGTGACTGGGGTTTAACGCTTGAAATTTGTCTAGGAGGATACGCACTTGAAACAGAGCATCCAAAAAGCGACCACACCTTTAATCAACGTCCATTGAAGTTCTATTTTTCTAAAATTTCTTATGCCACTGGTAAAACAGTAATTAAATGCATTTTACCCAAGCCTTTGTCAATAATATACGCGTTCAAGATAAGAGTCATCCCGGGATTTTCACAAAACTTATGACTTGACCGAAATTTGACGTTGTCTAACAACCTAAAGATGAACAATAAATTATCAAATAATAAACAAAATTTCAAGTAAAATCAGTAAAACTCTCACACAGAGGTTTATAAAAGATCATGCAATTGTAATAATGACATAATTTTGGTTTTATATACCACATGGGGCGGTTTAATTCTCTTTTCAGGTATTTAGAACGAAAATGATAATGAACGCGTTAATGTCTCCCCCGCATTTCCAAACAACCGTTTCTATGGTAACTGCCATAGAGTTACTACTGGACTTTTACGAATAGCGCTGACTTTTACAGTTGACAGCTAACTTTCACACTATAACAATATACGGAAGCTCTTTTACGATAGAACTTTTAGCTCAACATTAAATTGAACCAAAATAACGGGTTATTAGAAAAGTAAATCAGTTGTCCTTAAAGAAAACGAAAACCACCCTACCCCAAACTTCCGGTCATCATATGTTAGTGCCCCTAACAACATTAGGGGCACTACCTATGACCACTAGAAATGTGTACTTATCTATTATCAATTCCGTACCTCCATACATAATGCAGGTTTAAATGTCAAGTAAATCGTCAACTGTGAAAGTCAGTGCTTCTCGTAAAAGTCCATTAAAGATATTCCAAAAAAATTTAATTTAAAATATTCCTCAAGCGTCTATATTCTTATTTGTAATTTTCAATCAATTCCACTTTAAAATAAATAAAATATGAAGAAATTCCACGAACTTTTGGATCAACCCTGGTATGGTAGTATAAGGAATTTGATATACGGAAAGATTTTTTAACAGCGACCTAAGACATTTCTTGCGGCTGGAAAAAATGTTCCTCGAATTAAGATAGAAAAAAGAAAAGAAAATAATTTTTCATGGCACAAGAAACTTTCACTTCTAGACAATGTAATAATTACATTATATAGGCCTAGTTGTAGCGTTGTCAAACTGAAATAGAAACAACGCGTGATCCATTTTAAAAATTGAAACTAATATCGTTATTTGTTGCATGTAAAGATTAATTTGAAATAAGATCCCTCATTCTTTATCTTATCACGACATTTTGATTTTAAATCTGATATAAGAGGAGGACGAAACTGGAGTTCTATGCATTCTGCTTTATGTTGAGGTTTAATACAACATGCAAAAACCATTGTTGCTTTTCTTTCTTTTCGTCGGCGTTGCTAATGGCAACGACTCATGTGACCGGAAGGAGATGGAAGACACAATCTGTAGTCTGTGCGGACAAAGGAAAGGAAGTCAACTAACTAGTGGAACAGGTATTTTAAAAAAGTGTATCATAAAAAGCTTTTGTTAATGTTCCTAATTTGAAACTTACTAATATTTCTATTTTCAGAACAAATGTATGTTTATACATCACTAAGAAAGCTTTATTTAAACACATATCTTTAATGCTTTATTAATTTCTGTGATGAACATTTCAAAAGGTTAAAATATATAAGGAACTTTAACCTGATAATAAATTAAGATTGAGTTAATCTTTTTTTTTTTTTCAGGTAAACCAATTGCGTTTTATGCGTATATGTCCAGTAACATTCCGGTGAAGACATTGTCCAAACACAAAATATTCGTTTATGATCGCGTTGAGACGAACATTGGCAACGGTTATGACGTCAAGTCAGGAACGTTTACCGCTCCAGAGAACGGGGTTTACGTTATTCACACAACTACTTTTTCTAACGATAAATCACACAGTGTTATAGAAGTAGTAAAAAATGGAGTCGTTAAAGACGTTGCATATGCTGACTCGGGTCATCATGATGATGTCGCCTCAACTTCTACATTAACTATTTTGAATTTGAAGAAGGGAGATGTACTAAACACCAGAGCTGGACCAGGATATGGAGGACAATTACTAGTGAGCAACAAATATGCCCGAATGAGTTTCTCTGGATTTAAACTCATGTGAAATAAATAATCTGAAATAAAAGGCTAAATTTGAAGATTTATATCAAGTTTTTCTTATTAACATTTCTTTATCATCTGCTCCTTCTTTTTCAGTAGTTTATCAATGCGCAAGTAAAAATATAAGATTCACCAAAAAGACACTTTATACCTTTTCAACAAAGACGTTATCCAACAAAGTTAATTTAAGATTGTGTAGTAATACACTATTCCGCCTGTATATGAGCAAATATCGCCCAGTTGATTCAATACGCAGGAACATGTTCTACGTACGAAGAATTTCTAAAACGAAGCAGGCTAATGATAAATAAATTGATGATACAAGAGTATCGACAATTTTTTAAGTCAATATTTTCTAATTTCATAATTTGAAAAACTTGATTTAAAACATTAAGGAAGTTGTTTAAATTCAACTTAATTTTCTTTGCCTGGCCTCGTTCAAAAAATTATCGAATTTCGAAACAAGAACATGTTCTTGCACACTAAATCAGTTAATAACCGATGAACATAAATGACACATGTAGGTGATAACGGAATATAACTACGTATGTACGTACCTATAAAGGAAAAGTTGACGGTGTAAATACTTGGGTGAAACACAATAAAGGGGACAGTAAGGTTGCACTTGAGGGTAAAAAATTAATGTCTTTATTTTGGCCCAAAATTTTTTTTCTAAAAAGTAGATTATCTCAAGGATCTGAAACATAAACGGTTTTGTGAAATTCACATAAGAACTTTGTTTTTTACAAGCTGATAATAACCTCATTTACACAGGTTACGGACAGGTTGTTTTTGAAATGAATATTGAAAACTGTTTATAAACTTTAATTTTTTCAACTGCTCACAAACAAACGACATATAAAAATACAAAATATGGACAAAAGTTGTACTAAAAAAGATTGCATTATACTTTAAAATGAGAACAGTTCTTACTTCGTTCATTTTTGTTTAAAATGGTAGTATTTCAATTTATGTGAACTCTTTAAAACCAATATGAATAAAGAAAGAACTATTTAAAAATAATATTTTTTATGCCTTTGTTGAAATATAAATACTTCCATTAAAATAGGAATATCATTTTTATTATTTTCTAAAATAATTTGATAGCTTCATTAAGTTACGGACACTACAAGACCCAAATATTTATGATTGGCTTTTGGTTTGTGGTAAAAATAAAAATTTTTATAAACTTCTGAACTATTAGAAATCAGATTTAAATGATTATTAAATACAAAATGCATGAAAATTAGATATTGTTTCAAGTAAAAACAATTCACTCGCAGAACTAATGCCAATAGTAAAAAAATTCCAGTTTAAGAAATCCTGAAACTTCCTTTTTTCACATAACTATATAACTGAAGTGCAGAAGAAAAGTTCTCTAATTCAGTAAAGTTTTATGAAAACTATTTAGAATATAGGTACACTGATCAACGAAGTCAATTAACCAAATTTAAGGGTTACGGACACCACACAATACTTAAATTTTTCACAGGCTTGAGGATGAAGTTTTTGTTTTTCAGCCCTTTTCCTACCTTTTTTCAGAATTTTATTTGTCGTTTCTGTTTCTCCCGATTTTTTTTATTCTTCGGATCTCAACTTCATCTGATAAAAGCATACCATAACCAATATACTTTGAATAAATATATACACTTGTAACTTTATACAGGTGTTATGTGCAAGTAGAAAAGTCAAACCTTGAAGAATAAAGCTCACTCACATTTCTTTAATTAATTTTTTTTATTCTATGAAGCATTCTATTTTTCTTCAAACAGTTAAATATACAATAATTTATCTGAAATTGGTGTAATTTTAGTTGTTTCCTTTTTTGAATTTTTTTGTAGTGTCCGTAACCAAATTACTAACCTACTGTTTAACATTTTGAATGCAAATTTACTTGCATTTAATACATTTTAAGATATTACCTAATAACAACTAGACAATTGAAGCAATATATTACAAGAAATATGGATTATGTAACTCATGATAATAATTTTTAACTATTTTTATGTCATTTTAAGTGTCCAGTCATTATTTTAAGTACTAGCAGTAAAGAAAAAACCACCTAATCTAAAAGAATTCCAGCCAATAAACACCTTTTTATCTCTAAATTTAATAACACACTGGTTCAAAAATTTATCTGTAAATTTTATGGAGAAAAAAATAAAGATATTCCTTTTTCAACTTTTGGTTACGGACACTACACTCTACAAGTTATTTAAAATAGGATGAAACATAACCTTAGATAGAGGAATTCTAACAAGATTTTCTTAAATGTAAGACCAGTTGACTTAAACAATGAAAAAATGATGAAATGCTATTTGACTTAAATCCTAGGATGTCAATAGCATCTGCCAATATCAAGGTGATGTAACACCAAGGATCTTGTATAAGGAATGGTGCAATCTGGGTTTCTCAAATTAGTTGCATTATCAAAATGAGAGAGAAAGTAAAGTACATTGATTAACTTGTTAAACAAACCTCTGACCTTTGTGAATATACTAGCATTAGTGTTTTAACACAGCCAGTTTCAAACTGCCTCAAGTACAGGTTACGGACACTACAGGATTTTTTAGTGTCCTTAACCACATTTGTGATAATAACAGAGATACAGTGGTGATGATCAGGAAAATTACAACACATCTCAGCATCTATATGAAATGCCTCTCTAGGAAATTTGTTAAGATATTTATAGAGCCTTCCACTTTCACAGAATTTAAGTGGTTACGGACACTACAGTTTTTTGTAAAAACTTAATTTTCCACATTAAAACATGATGAAATTTCTTTACAATGGTTACATAACCCAACTTTTTTTCTGTAAGTAACAGAGCATTAATACTGTGTTTTAAGACTAGACAGAAATCTGAAAAATTAAATGATATAGACATTATTTTTTTTTGGCATAATGAGAGGGGTAAAATTATGTGAAAAATGTATAACATTGCACCCCTGTTACATTTTCTTTCATATCTTCAAAAGTTGGTATTCAATTCTGAAAATTCAAGCACCAAAATAATTTGTAAAATAAATTCTAAAGTCCAATAATGATCATTGGCATGAAAATGTATAATATTTCACAATTATTGCAATTGAAAAATGCTGTAATTTCAAAGCGAAACCGCATAACGCTGAAAAATAGTCATTTTTGGGGTACATTTTTTGCATTTACTTAAATTCTGTTAAGGCTAGATCAACAAAATTTTGCACACACGTCCTTTATAAGTATTCCTATAAATGAATTACAATAAATTAAATGTAAAGAAAATAACATTTCTTAAAATCATGTATAATAATGTGGTATTCTAAATGCGCCCTATATTGTGTTTCACCCGACTAAATTTTACGAAAGCCCAGAAGGCTCATTCGAGATTCGAGTTTCCAAGTACGAGATTCGAAATTCGAGATTCAAAATTCGAAATTCAAGATTCAAAATTCGAGTTTCGAGATTCAATATCCAAACGAACCAATCAAAAGCGAGATCAACATTTGATTACTCCCCTTTATTATGTTCTTACTATCAAGAAATAATTCAATATAATTATATCAAATGGTTCATTTGATTAAATTACAATGCAAGAAAAAGTGTTATATATATTAGACGTAAATTTAAATAATTAATGGATTTTTGATCAGCAAAAAACATATCAATTTATATTATAGATTCTTAAATATTAAATAGATTACATATATCAGGAGTATATATATTTTTGTATCGTCAACTAATTACCGGCCAGGAGGCGGTCAGCTCTATGATATGAAAGTTCGAAGTCACTATGCGTTTTTGCGGAGTTAAAACAATTTAAATAAAAAATATTTAACATAAATATAGTAGTATATTAAAAAGAGCGTCTAAAGGTTCAAGAAGAACGCATCATAAATATAAACTTAAAAATTCTTAAGAAGAATGAGGTAAATATTTCATCCAATCCTATTTATGAACTTAGACATGTTTGAGGTGCGGAGAAAATTATGACATCTGTTGGGCGTAGTCTAAAGCAAAGACCGCGTTATGTATATTACGCAATTTTACTTTCTCCATTCAAACGGGATTTGTTGTACGTATTTATTTTAAAATGACGTGTACATATGTACATATATAAACATTTTGAAACATATGTTTAAATGTTAATTCATTAAAAGACTTAGCAGGCTACAGAATATTACAAGATTTGGCCCTTAGCAGACGAGGATAATGCACGTTTTACAATGTGCCAAGAATTTTCCCGCTACAACTCAAAGAGAAGAAATGTAGTGGCGGATCTAGAGGGACCATAAAAGGAACAATTAATTGGTTTGCGGCCGATTTTTGACGCTTGCGTCAATATAATTTATGTTTCTTGTCTTAATTTTTAGAAAAACACAGTACGTGTGGACAAGACCCCCCCCCACCCCCATCCCCTTGATATTGAACCCCAGGGCTTATTTCTCTGTTATGTATAATCTTACAATACGAAAAAATCGCTGGCGTAAAACCCCCAGAATAATCGCTCAACCAAAAAAAAAAAACAAAAAAAAAACAAAAAAAACAAAAAAAAACACAATTTATTACCCCACTTTACAAGAAAGAATGCTGTTTACGGAGAAAATGTGGGATTATTACGTGATGCAGAGTCAGTCCGATAGCAGGGACTAAGACAGAAATACATTGTATATTTAGAGACAGTGCAGTGGCGGATCCAGAGGGGGGGGGGGGTTACGGGGGTTGTAACCCCCCCCCCTTTGGATTTGCAATATAAGAGAAAGAGAAATAAGAAAGTTCCAATTTTTTCGTTGTGTTTTTACTATAGGAAATGTAAGGTGAAAGGCTAATGTTGTATTATATAAAGAAATTCGGTTGTAAAAACAAAATAAAACCCTCCTCCCCCCTTTTACAAAATAGGATTTTCAGGTTCGGAGATTTATTTCCCTTTCTTTTTCAAAAACTTTCTGGTAATGTATACAAGTACTTTTTCCCAGATTGATCAACGTCCCACTTTCAAAAACCATACACCACCCTGTATCGATATTCTATTG